GCTGAAGGTTTGACTGAAGCATCTCATAAAACTAATTATCTTTAAGACCAACGAGTGGGGAACCATGAACTCCACCAAAGGCTTCTCCATTGCCCCTTCAAAATTAGAGAGTGGAAATAAGGCAACAATTAAAAAAATTATTGCCAGGAAATAAAACCTTTTCCAGATTAGGGTTGACAGCTGCCTCCTGCTAAGAAACAGGAACATGGCCTGCGGTTAATAAGTATTTACTCTAGAGGCCAAAATGAGGGTTTAAGACTAGTACTTCTTAGGAAGCTAAAGTAGAGGAACAGGGAGAGTGGGACAATTTTCCATACTCGAGGGGGATAAATGAGGGAACACAGTGGTCTGGACATTCTTCAGTAATTAGTTCAGTTATGGTGCCCTTCATACAATGGGAGTGTTAAAAGAGTGAATATTGAGACTTCATGGGTATTCTAGATGAGTTTTATATGTATAATATACATATATACTAGAACTAGAGGGCTGTGCCCCCTGCTTGCTATGCTCACCAACCCCCCTTCTCGCTGGCTGCTTTCACGGCCAGAGAGCCAGTTAATCTTGCAGTGAGCCCAGCTGTACTCTCCATGACCCCAAGTCACCTGCACCATTCTCCGCTCCCACCCCACCATGCCCCTGGATGGGCCCCTCTATCTGAGCACTCTCAGCCCATCCTGCCCATTCCCCACAATCGCCAGCCATTTTCCCCCACCCCCTTCCCACTCCTGCCACACACGCCAATAAAATAGTTCGTTTGTGTGCAGAGTTCAGAGCCTCTCCTGGCAGCTAGCACTGGTCCACTGCTCTGTGGGCTTGTGGGCCTCACATATAAACGAAAACCAAACACAATCAGTAAAATGGGGCCCAAGTCCAAGTGAATCCCCTTTGTTCTGGGTGCTCCTGGGCACCTGGCTCACTAGTGAGGGGAAGGGGCTGGGTTACGTGCAAGTGGACAGGTAGGGAGAGAATTCCCCACTCTCTATGTCCGGCAGCACTCCAGATGTGCCCTTCCAGCTGGCAAGTGAGCTCCTGCTGTGTGACTGGGACATTCTCCATGCAGACAGGGTGCAATGGAGAGACATGGAACCATGGGAGAGCCCTCACTTTTACATGCCCACACCTTACTGAGAACGAGACATGGGTCCCGTGGGAAGAGAGCTTGGTGGGCTAATCTGGGCTTCTAGCCCTTATCCTAGCGCTCCATGGCCCACAGCCCAACCCTCTCCTTTCATCCCTGTCCCACCTCCATTCCTATCCTCATCCATCCTCTTCAACCCCTCCCACTGCCTCTCCCTACCCCCACCTCCTTCCTCCATTCCTACACCCCCATCCGTCCCTAACTCTTTCTCCTGCACATCCCCACACTTCCTGTCCCCCTGCCTTTATTCCTATATCACTCTCACCCCCACCATCACTCCTTACCACACCTAGGCTGTGTCTACACTGGCACCCCTTTCCGGAAAAGGGATGCTAATGTAGCACGTGGGAATAGGCAAATCCGCGGGGGATTTAAATATCCCCCGCGGCATTTGCATTAACATGGCTGCCGCTTTTG